CTCCTCACTTACCAGGGCGTCTCCTCATGAAATGTGTGCAAGTGAAGAATATTAAATTAAACTGCTATGGAGCGGCGGCTGCTACTTTGGCTGTCTGTGTATGTGATTGTGCGTGTGTCTGTGTTGCTGTGATCACTTACACCTTCGCTATTGACTACCAACACAATTGTTGTTGTTGTTGCACTCACGTACTTGCTTGCGTTGGTTAAATAAATGAAATATTTTCAAATAAGCCGTACACCAGGTCGTATGCGCAACTTTTGTCGCTTGTTCTCTGCTGACTTTCTTGTTGCTGATTGTTTGTCGTCGGCACTGCCTTGTAATGTTTATTTGTGCATAGTAGAATTCCCTTTTGTATGACTGTTAATTAACAAAATTTACAGGTAAAAACCAGTTATTGTATTTTCGAGTGTCGGATGTCGAGCTTATGTATTATATTTTGTGTGGCGACGAAATTCATTTTATTAAATGAAAATGAAAATTAAGTTCCAAGAAGTAGCGGTTACGTGTGCTGCATTCAAGTAATTGCAAAGAGTTTTCCAAACGACCATGCTGGTACCTTCTGTGTTGGCAGTTGTAACTTAAGGAATTTAGCAGATTTAAAGTGAATAATTACTATTAAATCCCAATTTCCTGCACAATTTATTGAACTTTTAAATTCTGTAATTTTCTATTTAAGTGATTTCTTTACTCTAAATATTTCGGACCAAGTGACTTAGCATAAATTTTAACTCTTTTATATCCAGAATGCCATAAAAATAAATTAGTACACAATTTTGCTTAAAATATGCAAAATAAATAAAAAAATGGAGAAAAAATTATTTATTTTTTCTGCAATTTTCGGAAAAAGCAACATGATTCCAATTGTAAAAAATAATTCATTCAAAATACAGATTCAATATATATAAAAAGAGCTGGATACATACATAAATGCTGTAAAAATTAACAGATTCCCATCAAAAAAAAATTAAATTTTTGCAGAAGAAACCATTATTATTTCACAAGGAATATTAGGAAATATTAATCTAGTTTAGCTCATATTAGGCTTAGTAAAAAATAGTCCATAGTTGAAGTTATCTATTTAGTTTATGCGAAATATACATAGTGTTTCTCGGCATATTTTTGTCATTTAGAAAGTAATGCCGCAATGCCTCTCTCATGATTTGAGACAATCGATTTTCGCAGGCTTCTCTTGAGGCCAATCCATCATCAGTTAAATCATTCACCACAGACAAAGAACTAAATGATAATCACTGGACCTCGTTGTAGTCCAAACTATAAAGTGGATGCAGTACCCCCCTATGGAGAATGATTTATGTATGACACTCTATATATAAATGTAAACACAAGTAAATTATAAATATTTAATTTTTTTTATAAAAATTGATATTATTTATTTGAAATCGCAAATAAAAATTTTTGAAATTGATTTTTCAGATGTTCCAATTTCTGACAATATAGGGCGAAATTAAGCGTTTGGCTTTATGGGAGCAACTCATTGTATATAGTTCCTTGTCAATTTTACCAAACACACTACACAACTTTTCTGGCCCCCAATCCTAGTTTAGAGACAAAATGATTACCTGTTACAGTTGTATGACCATAAACGTTATTCAGATCCTTAGCCGCTAGCTGTGTTTAGAATAGAATATAGCATACCCCTCTTTAACATGTGCCCAAATACTACGCAACTAAGTCATCAAAACTTCTTGCATTGTCTGTTTCAGTAGATCAGTCAGCGAATCAGTGGAAGAAAGAGTATTTTGGGTTCGATTTATCTGAAATTTGTTACAAAGTTAAGCTTTATGCTGACATGGCTTCTTCCTTCGCTCCTTGTTTGTATTCCACCTCTGGGCTTTGAAATGCACCTCCTTAAGTCGATTATGTCTGCACAGATTTGGCTAACTTTGATTTTTGAAGAATTTCTGTCCGTTCAGGGAAGGCTAACACCGTTAGCAACACTTGATATCGAGTGCATAATTATATTTTTGTTTAGATGGGCACAGATACTACCTTTTCTACTTGGGAGTTAAGCAAGGACTAGAGTCGATGGGATTGAAATTTATTTTGTACGTTATTGATTTTTGGTTAAATAAACAAATAAAATGCATTTTTTTTCTGGAATCGAACAACTCAATATAACAGATTCTCAAAATTAGTACGATGTTTGTACACTGCGGCTGAAGGTTGCTTCGAGATTGACAATGCTGCCTTTCATTTTAGACTATTATATTTAGTTAGAGTTCTTTGAAAGCTTAATAGCTTAATGTTTTCTATAAGTATTGTATATTCGAGGCTTTCATTGTGTGCCTCATCAGCATCTATCTTATTCCCAATGGTTCTCGGCTGAATATTGATTAGAACATTGAGTTGGGAGCTTGAGAATTCGGATTTGTGCTAGTGATATCAGGTGTACAACTTTGCTTCCGTCGTTTTTTTTCAAAAAAAAAAAAAAAAAAAATGCTTACACATATATTATTCAATATATTATTCGCTAACGACAACTTTCTCCCATCTTCCCGGCAATTTTCGGATCTCAGCTCGAAAAAAGGAGTCCTCTTTTGACGCTATCCATGAAGCAATCCATTTTTCCAATTCTTCGAAGGATTGAAAATGTTGATCTGCCAGGCCGTGTGCCATCGAACGGAATAGGTGGAAGTCAGAAGGGCGACATCTGGGGAATACGGTGGGTGGGGCAAGACTTCCCATTTCAGCGTTTCCAGGTACTTTTTGACCACTTTTGTGACGTGAGGCCGAGCATTGTCGTGTTGGAGGATGACTTCGTCATGTCGCTCTTGATATTGTGGCCGCTTTTCTTTTAGCGCGCGACTAAGGCGGGTCAGTAGCGTTCGGCAGCGAACTCCTGTGATGGTTTCACCCGGTTTTAAGAGCTCGTAGTAAATCACACCGAGCTGATTCTCTTCCACCACCATGTTTGTCTTCGACATTGAAATTACCATTTTTAAAATATTGAAACCACTCCCGGCACGTTCTTTCACTTAGAGCAGCATCACCGTAAGTTTCTGAGGGCATTCGTTGCGCTTCAGCTGCATTTTTTTTCGAATTGCAACAGAAAAGTAAAACTTCCCGCAAATGGCGAGAATTAGGTACATAAACGGACATTTTGAGCGTGAATAATACGAAAACAAGAACAACTGTCACTGAAACGGCGATGACAATTCGTTAGGCACACTCACTTTAAAGGCATTATCATCTATGTATTTCAACCAGCCTCAGCCGGTACAACCACCTATCGGAAAACGGAACGGAATCAAAGTTGTACACCTGATAGTTTAAGAGAAGCCAAAAATTTGCTGTTAAGGGTTGGGTTAGTCTAAACTGGCTCACTCATTGGGTCTCATAAAGACGATAATATATCCATAGCGTTTCCAACGTACACTACCTGCGATCAAGCTGTACTTAATACTACACTCTTATTATATTTTTACGTGCTTCACTGTATCCACACATTCTTTGCACTTCCTACATTGGTTCTCGCTAGTCAGACCTATATTATACGCATGAGCTGACGAAAGCCAATGTCCTATTAGTAGTCCTGTCGGGATTAGTTTTAGCAATTCTGTAGCCATTAGCTCGTTCCCAGAGTCTATTTCTCATAACGAAGTTGTATTACTTCTAGCTCTTCTAAATGAGCAAAAAGTGGTCAAAGTTAGCTTAACTGTTTTGTAAAACATATATCTCATCAAAAAATGTTTGTCTTTTTCGGGGAAGTAAAATTGTTTTACCTACCCAGAGCCTGCCTACACATAAATGCACCTAATTTGCACCGAGTCTCACGCACCCGAAAAAAAAAATTTATCTGTAGCATAACTGAGAGTATTCAAAACATTGCCATCACCTCAATAAAGTCTTCCCCGAATTAAGTTCAAAGTGATTTTTTCATCATACAATACAAATTGAATGAGTGTGTTTGTTTGTCAATAAGAAAGAAGTTCGCAATAAGTATGCAAGTCAGTTGCATTTACTTAGGTGCGTGTGTACTATTTATCATGCAAAAAGATGTAAGAAAATTGCGTTATAATCTTTAATATTTTATTTTTTCACTTTCGCTCTTATGCGAAAAATAATTTAAAAAAGAAAAAAAAAATATTTCACTCACCAATTGCTGGTGGCAAAGTCGTGCCGACACCAAAGTCAATTAGGGCGTTCAAACAACTTAAAAAACTGAATTATCCAATTTAGGTGGCTGTCACAAAGAAAAAAGGAAAAAATACATACATACAGACAAAATAAAATTTAAACATATTTGCAAGTGCTGTTGTTAAATATATAATGTTTTTGCTTTTTTTGTGTTATGCGACCAAAGCGCTTAAATGGGTATCCGGTCTGTGCTGTTGGACAGTTAGTGGGGCACATAAATCAACGGCATCACAATCACAGTTATACGGCGAGTGTGAGCTATGGCGGGCGTTTCAGTTATTTTGCGGTTGCTTTTCCGTTGAAAGATTTAGTGCGAAAGCAAACTTTTTTTTGCGAAATTAAAAAAATGTTTTAGATATATAATAAAAACAATAAAAATAAATAAATTAAATAAAATGCGAAATCGCTAATTAAAAATAAAAATATTTATTTGAAAAGAGTTGTATGGTTTGTAAAGTTTATGTGATTGAAACAACTTAATAATTTTGATGAAATTTAAATAAATTTTTATTAAGCATAATTCAAAGATTTCAATTCAATTATTTTTGTTTATGTGCTTATGGAAACCCTAAACTGCATTTAAAAAATATTTTTATGTAAATCATAAAAATATTGCTTCGAGACCTTAATAATATGAACACCATTTAAAAATAGAACAAAACCACCCTTTTTTGGAAAGAGCATTTAAAGCATTATTTAAAATAAAAAATCCGCCATTATCTCAGCCGCCAAAAGTGATTTTCGCAATAATCATTTATCACAAAAAAAAAAACAATTATAAATATAAACGCATTGTGTATGGCTGCAACAACACTTTCTCGTTCCAATTCCACTTGCAGCACCTACAGCGACTCAGCGGCCGCATCTAGTGAAACACTGGACGCCGCTTCGGTTCTCTCACCCACAATGGGCGCCGCCACAACGCCTGCCGCTGCCACTGCCACTGCGGCCAGCACAACGCTCAGCTACCAGGACGAGCAGCAGCCGCAGCAACATATTATGCGCGCACACCTTAGCAGTCATCACCACTACCACCTGCCACATCAATTTCAACATCCCCACCATCAAAATCATCATACGCATGGTGGCGTGCCAGTAGCCACGCCTACAGTGCCCGCCAGTTATGCGGGGACACAACACTTGTTGCATCACCACCATCAGCACAAGGCGAATTCCTATAGTAGCAGTGCAATGGATGAGGATAGTAGCGGTAGTGTGAGTGGTATGAGTAGCGGTCCACCGCAACCGCCTGCTAAACCACCACACATCACAACACAAGAGCGTCGTTCGCCACCTAGCACAGGCGCTGCGTCTGCAGTAGCTACAACATCGAGTCTTTTGCTAGCCGCAGATGCTGTGCCCACACCCTCTGTTTCGCCAGGACGCTTAACCTCACGTTCCGGTTCACATCATCGTGTTACAATCGATGAATCGAATATAGCCACTTCGTCGGCGTTGAGCCATCAGCTGGATGTACGTGGTGGTGGTGGTGGTGATGATGGTGATGCTGGCAGTGGCGGTGGCGGTGCAGGTGGCTCGGGTCCGCCATCGCCGAGTTCATCGAATCGGCGTCTTTCGTCGGCGTTAGGTGAGGATCGTCAGACGGGGCATTTAGCGTTAATGTATCACTCGCATCAGCTGACCAGCTATCCGGTATTGCCAGCTATCAAACGTACACATCGACCGTCGTTCATATATCCACCGATGCCGCGGGTCAGAGCGTAAGTAGAGATTGCATGTTTTTTTCCAATAAAAATATTATACATATATATTTATTATTATTATTAGAAATATTTTCGCAGTATATAGATTGTTGGTCCGATCAACTTCGAAACCTATTCTAAATTAATTTTTTTTAATTACCGATGCCCCTCTGCTAGGAGTGTCAAGTCCTAAGCGTGTATTTCTGTCATGAAATAGCAAAGAACTTAGCTTTATTATTCATGGTAAATAATTTCCAGCAAGTGACCGCTGCGCCTAGCTTGAATAAATTCCAGCCGACAAGACCAATTTTCAACCACCTTTTGTAGCAATTTGGACCATATGTATGGCATATTTTGCTAGCTGTAAGGACGTCTTATAGGAACCAAGAGTCGTCCACCTCTACGACATCCTCCAATTCAAGTACGAAACAGTCCTTAAACAGGACTCTGTAGCGCTTCTCATTGACCGTAACAGCATGATCGGCTTCTGTTTTGAAGAAATATGGACCAAATCATTCCATCGGACCATGGATCAACTAAGAACCTTCGGCAAATTTTACATCAAGTGAATGAGCAGATGTACTCAATCTGGTCTTCTGGGACTCCTTGATCTACAGCTGCAATATCGTTCACCAACGCTCACGGCCTGACGTCGGTGAGAATGCGCATTATCCACAAGGGTAAACGTGGTGCGAAACCGATTCATGGTTACTCGAACTACTTGACCGAATATTGGATGCGATCTGTCGCGCCAATCGAAAAAATATTTTGGTAATAAATTAGGACGATTTACAAACATTCTTCAGGAGTAAGGCTGCGTGTAAATCAAGGACAAAAAGAGCAACCACGAAAAAAGTATAGCCTGAATGGAAACCACGTATACTTATATATATATATATATATATATATATAATTTTCTTAATATTTTTCTTTAGATTCCGTAATATTTGTATATATATGTATACTTAATTTGTTCCATATAACTACTCATTGGACTAGAGAGCCACATGGCGAGAAACGAACAAAAAGAATGCAATAGTTTTAAGGACAAAATATTTTATACATATATTTTTATTAATATTTCTCTATCGAAGTTAATGTTGTGAAAATTATTTTTTCCAAGTCGAAACTAATTTGTCCTAATCACGATAGTAAATTCAATTAAAAGCAAATCATTCGTCTCACTGCATCAGACACAAAGGCAAATCCGCCAAAAATTACTTCATCAATTTGCCTCTGTTCAAGAAAATTGGAATTTTGTCAACGTAAAGTATGAAAAATTGCTTACAAAGAAAGTAAAATGTCATATATTGATTGTGTGGGTATGTATATAAGTATTATATGCGCGTAGGGTTTCCTTACACATGGTCAAAGTCATAAACTTGGGTATTTATGCACAAGCACAATGTACACTGGTCGTTTGATGTAGATATACATACATATTTACAGATATTTATTTATAGGAGTATGTATGTTATAAGTCACTTTTACTTTCCCAACAGCAGAACATGCCTTTTCATCCGATCCCCTTGAATTTTTTGAATTCTCCTCCATAGAACTGAAATGTCTTTGGCCATTCTGTCACTAAACGATATATGATTGTACGTCTAATGAAGTACTGACATGTCGAGAGGAGATTGAAGTTTCTTGAGATTCAGTGTTTAAATTGTGTGAAATACGATTTGCTATAATTTATAAAAGTTTCTGAAGTGTAATTTAATGCTTGATGAGCCTAATAAATCACAGGCAAAATGCTCATTTTGTGAATTCGCAAATGACTTGTAGTTTAAGATGGTTTTCATTGTGGGTTACACAATAAGCCAAGACATATAAATTCCTTTTCCGGCTGCGTAGCTCTAATAATCACACTGAGTATTCCATTAGCAAGGTGGGTAAGAAATTTTTATAGATACGGGCTTTCTGTACTACTCACATGCCTGAATTGCCCTTAGCACCAGCACAATAACCACCGCCCTTCGTCAGTGGACCTCAGAGGACCATCAATTTCAATATTACTGCTAGAAGCAGACCTTAAACATTTTGGTTCCCTCGCTCTGGCTTTTCACATCTGAGACTCCTCATAATTTATTTGTTTATTAGACATCTGCACTTATTATCCAAGTCTTCTTTAGACAATATGATCTTCAACAGATTAATGTACTCTACATACAAATTTGAATTCACCCTTAAGCCTGTTACATATAATGGAAAGTGCTCTGGATTTCACAGCTCACTGCTGCAAAATATTGGCCTCACCGCGACGTATTTCCATCCATATCCAGGTAGCAAATTTCTTCTACTCCTAGCTACGTTAATGTATGAACCGAAACTGGTGCACTCAATGGTATCAATGTGGCATTAGCACAGATTGGTGTCGCATTCATCAGGAGGGCTGAATTAATGTTAGCAAATAAGCTAGCTTCCTACTTTGTTGTCTTGGACCTCCCATATTTGACATGAATTTTTTAACAACTGAGCCGCCTTTACTCCCCTTCTCATTAGCGTATTTCAAATGTTCTTTGAAATTAGGTCGGTGATGAAGTCTAACTTCTAGATATTTAGTGGCTGGGCTTGAGTCTTTCGTGCACTCACCTACTCTCGCTGAGATACGTTTTACCTGTTTTGTGGTCTGGTAACTCTACTTCTACGGTTTGAAGCCATATTTTCATGGACACTATGGTTTCATTGTATGAGTATAAGCGATGTGTAACCCAAGTATTTTACTACCCTTTATAATAACTATATTACCAGCAAATATTCGATTTGATTGATCGTCCTTCGGCAGGCAATGCTTTGTTCTCTGAGTGTATTTCTGACAAAGAGCTTCTCAGTAAAAACCATCGGCTGTTCGAAGCCGGTTTAGAAAAAACTGAAGGGAATACAATCAAGGTGCAAAATTGGAATAGGAGCTCTGCAAATTATTCGAACTTCGTCATTCTGTTGGAACTACTATCAACCATTTGTAAATTCGAGCTCATCATATCCGGTTGTTGCACTTCCAAGGCCATTCAGCAGAGTGGTGAAGTCTTACCCCTATAAATAAACTAAGTATACTCTGGAAATCGATCACTTTGGTCTGCTTTGCTCGTAAATTACTCTTGAAATCTTCTTTAAGTGGCTGGATCTTTCTACAGAATTCTCGAGCCCTACTCAAGCAATTTATACTCACGAATTCTGGTTTTTCATTTTTTCCCTTTCCCCATACGTCTTGCTTTCCTTTTCATTTTTCGAAATCCATTCCAAGCCTCAACATATTACTAATCAAGAGTAGTAAAATAAACAGCATTTTTTTTGAATGATGATGATTGAACTTTTTTTTTTTTTGGAAATCTTTGATTTTTCGTGACCGAGTTAATGGCTTCATTTATTTAATACTTTACCACTGGGAATTATTAAGGTTACCTTTGGCACATCATTTACGATCATATGTATTAAAAAAATAAATGATATTCAATGGTGTTCACACAGTCTGTCAATTAGTTAGTTGAAAGCATTTTAGTAATTACAACCTTGTTAGCAGCAAATATAATCGGCAGTTCTACGTTGTCAGTAAGTAGTGTCAAACGGTAATAAAGTTGCTCATGCAAGCCATTGTATTCAGAAGAGCTTATTTAATGAGAAAAAAGAGAAAATGTTTGAAAAATTCGTTGTTATTAAACCTACTAAAAATTAATACTGGGTAATTATTAACGATTCTTATTAAAAAATGTTTTAGTGAATTGACAAACGGAGCTCATTGCAAAAAGGTAGACTGTACCAGTTGTCAATCGATTGTTGCTGCAAAAAATTCTGCGACAAAGTTTAAGGTTGAATTCCGTCAGTTTATGGGCTTAAGTGAATATGATTTCAGTAACTTCAGATATTAATAATAAGAAATTAAAGTCACTCAAACAGGGTGTTTGGAGATGAATAAATTGTTGAAATTCACCTATTTTTTTACATGTAAAGAACCAAACAGAGTTCATAGTTCAAGTCATAAAGATCAAATTTTCTTATGAGAAAGTATACAAAAACAAAGTATCTGCTGGTCTCTTTCAAAATATGGCAGTTAAAGGCTAAATTGTCGTTTCGAACAAAATATACTCTTCACTGCAGAGATAAAATTAAAATGCCGGAAGTTACTATTTAGAAACCACAGACAAGCAACAATGTCACATGTTATAATTAAAAGGCGTAATTATGTTCGAACCATACTTTACATTGTAAGTTCGTACCTGTAATAAAGGAAAATTTATAGGCAAGCTAACTATTGTTTAAGAAGAATTAAATCTTACAACCAAGATGAATGTTTACTCGTATAGCAACGAGCATACATGTGTACATACATACATATTCATCCGTTTGAAAAACTATTCCTTTCACTGCAATTGCATTCTCTATTACTACGAGTGCAATTAATTACAGTTGAATTCCCTAAAAGCTTAATTAATATTTCTAACTATGTGTGCAAACATAAATTAGTAGACACATACTTACATACTTACATACTTATGTGCATAAGTAGAAATGTGGTTAATGGCAAATTGCTGTCTCGCCACAACTGGTACCTGCAAGCAAGCAGCAAGAGTAGAGAGTGGCAATTATTGGCTCAACACAATTACTTGTGATTGCTTTCTCTTTGATACTCGTAAGTACTCTTAGAAGAAGGGTCGCGTGCCATTTGTTAAATATTTTGAGATTGCTGAGATTCTCTTGAAATTACATATCTATTCAAAAGGCATTTGACGTGCGAATATCCGAAGATTGTTTTACATTGTGGAAGATGCTACGTGAGGCATGAGAAAATTGAGGTGACAATACTAAGCCAAAAACATATTACTCTTCGATAATAAAAAAAATGTTGAGAAGTTTGTAAAAGAAAATCATTGCGAGATATCGTATTGTAGTTCATGAATTTAAAAAAAACTGAACCATCAGCCCTCAAGCAAAGTATTCTTGACAATTAGGTAACGTCAGACATTTGATAGGGCGGAAAGGAATTTCTGTATCACAAGTTTCTGAATAGTGCCAATATTCGATAGCATATATTTTATTTCTTGTTATTTTATTATTATTTGTTTTATTTGATTTCATCTTAAATAACTATGATCTATTTTATTCCATGATTATCATGATTATTTTATTTAATTTTTTTTTTAATTTTTTAATTAATTTCTTTTTATTTAATTTTTTTTTGTGTTTTTCTTTATCTAAGATATTTTTGTATTTTCTTTTAATCAGTTAATTTAATTTTATTTAATTTTTCAGATTTATATTAATTTGTTTTATATAAGTTTATTTTATTTATATTTGATAGACTTTGATTTAAGTTTATATAACTAAATTTACTTTCTTTAATTTTTTTGTTTTATATTAACTATCTTTCAATTTGTTTTTTTTATTTTACTTTGTTATATTTTTTTATGTGTTTAATTTTTCTTATATTATTTTGTTTTATATTATTTTATTTTTTTTTATATTATTTATTTTTGTTATTTTATTTATTTTTTGTTTTATTGTGTTTTATTTTAGTTTAATTAATTAATTTAACTATATTTAATTAGTTTGTTTTATATAATTATTTTATAAAAACACATATATTTTATATAAGATAATTGTATCTTTATTTGACGGTTTTTTAAATATATAATTAAATTTATTTTGATATAAATATTCAGTAAACTAAAGGCCTGGTTTATATTATGAATTTAATATTTTTTATAATGTACAGCAATTCATTTAATTTTACCTTTTTGGTTTTATATTCATCTTTTATAAATTTATTTCATTTTATTTAATTTTTTGTTATTTTATTTTACTTTATTTTCTTTTATTCTATTCCATTCTACTTTATTTTATTTTAATTTAGTTTATTTTATTTTAGTTTATTTTATTTTATTTTATTTTATTTTATTTTATTTTATTTTATTTTATTTTATTTTATTTTATTTTATTTTATTTTATTTTATTTTATTTAATTTAATTTAATTTAATTTAATTTAATTTTATTTTATTTTATTTTATTTTATTTTTTTTTGTTTAGTTTAATTTTAATTTATTTTGTTCTTTATATTTAATTTAGTCTTCTTTGATTTTATTGCATTTTATTTTGATTTTGTTTTATTTAATTTTATTTGATATAATTATATTTCATTGTGTTCTATTTGATTTTATTTAATTTCATTTATATTTTATTTAGTTTCATTTTATTTGTTTTTATTTAAATTTTTTTGGTTTATTTGATTTTACTTAGGTTTATGCTTGGGAACAGAATTTTAATTTATGGATTTCTTTTGTGTATTACTTAATGTATATTTTATGTATATTAATTTAAATTGCTTAGTTTAAATCTTGCCAGTGATTTTCCATATATTTTTCATTCTTTTTTCTGCCCATTATAGCTCACAAACGCCCGATTAGCCCTCGATGAATGCACTTTTATGAGCATCAACGCTCTGACATGAACTTAATTTCGATTTCAATCCACAACATCTTCCTTTCGCCAGCCTCTATTCTTCACGACTTTTCGTTTCCCCTCTTCACAGTGTTTATCTGAGCTTTCGTTTGAAATTACTAATTTAAGTGTGGTTGTGTGTCAATTATGGTACTTGTCGGTATATGTTCTAATGTAGATATATGTGAATATATATTGCTCATATGTACATCTTTACTAACATACATATATGCATTATGTTTAATTACCCATCGCGATTATCCATGTCGTTTTCTTCTCTTGTCTATCAAAGTTCATCTTCACATGCCTTCCTCATACAAAACAGACACCTGCGATTTCTGTACTACTTATTATGTAATCAGATGTATTCTTTTACTATGTACACATACACTTTCTATAAATATATACTCGACATATTAACTTCCTTTAACACTCGTTTACCCTATGAACTGTCTGTCTATCAGTCTCTCAAGTGAATGGATTTCTTGTGCCAATTAATAGTTGGTTTGTGGTTATATTGTTTTTGCTGTTGTAGCTGTTGTCGCTGCTTCTGATTCTGCTGGTTATGTTGTGGTTAAGTACAAAAAGGTGTACACCAAAATTAACCGCACGTTTCCGTCATATGCCAAGAAAAAGGAGATTGGAAAGGTAGCTTATTTCTACATACGCGTATGTATGTACATATGTGTATGTAACTACATGCTTACATTTACATACTCATATCTTTATGCCATTATGCAAAAGTTAATGCATAATTGATGAATGTGTACTTAGTGTTAGCGCGCCTTAGGCATAAGCTTAAGTTATAAATAATTTGCTCCTTTGGATTGACTACAGGCTAATTTAACAATTTACAATCATTTTGATTTCATTATGCCTATATTTATACACATACACATGTTATGTGTTGAGTTTTACATAAAGTCTTTTAATTTTATAAAACTCTTTATTAAATTTCCATTTTAGTGGTGATGCCCTGGCTACACTCTTCTCGGCTTTATACGGAAAATTGTTGGTGGTGATGGGTATCGCGTTTCCAATGGCTGAAGTTATATCGACATATATACCACCTTCGTTTTATGAGGTAAGTACATTGAGGAAAACAAATATATATATCTCTTATATAGAAAAGTTTTGTTTCACTGCCGACGTGCAGTATTTTGTTTCGCGCTATTAGCAGGTATTAATATAGCAAGGCATCAAAAACAGAAGATCGGTATGGACCATAAAACAATATAGATTTCTTCTCTGTGAATAATGTTTTCCAGCAAATATTATTAAGGTTATTTGTAATATATACTGCGAGTTCAAGGGGATAGTGTTTCCGTCAGTGATGCACTATTGACCTTCGTTTAGATCTAAATGACTTGGTATCCTGAACTAACCAATGGATCAAAAGAGACCTTTCATATTTTATAGACAGATTTCAGAATTGTTATTTCACAATCTATTTTGAATATATCCAAAATCCACTCCACATTTCAATAAAAATTTTATTTTCCCAAAACTTTGGCCTTCTATATAAAACGGTTCAATATTTAATTCAACATTCTAAGACGAATGTCGGATATCTAATTTCGGCACCAATTGACTTAAGCGCTTTTTTGTTTGTTACACACTTTAGAATTGGATTAAAACAAAACCTTTTAATATTCGCTTTACTTACCGAATATGAACTTTTATTTTCATAGCAATTTTTATTTGCAATGTGCATTAACATTCAGATGATAATCGAATATGAGTTTTAAACAGCATATTCCACAATCATTAGTACTACGAAAAAAGCTTCAACCCATCAAAGAAACGCTAAATAAAAATAATTGTTTATACAAATTTAAAGAAAATTAAAATATTAAGGCTAGACAAAATAAAGAAATTAAAATAAAACAATATAAAATAAAATAAATCGACTAAAATAAAAATATTAAATTATAGTAAAGCAAAATAAAATAAAACTAATTAAAATTCAATAAAATTAATAAAATATAATTAAAATAAAATATAAAAAAAAATATAATATATAATAAAATAAAATAACATTAAATAAAATAAAATTAAATGAAATAAAATATAATATAATAAAACAAAGTAAAATATAATAAAATAAAATAAAATTACATAAAATAAAATAAAAAATGAAGAAAAAAAATTTAAATAAAATAAATTAAAATAAAAAAGAACAATAGTTGAGGAGAATATTAAAAAAAAATTTGGTAAATAAAAATAATTCTAATATAAATAAAAATGCCTGTACATTAAAAATAAGGTAATATGCTAGATAGTCGATTGCAAAAGAATAAGATAAATTAGAATGAAGAGAATTTATTTTACATTGTAATGAGTATCTTCTGAAACTCACCAGTTTTACTTCATTGTTGTTTAAAATCACTTTAAATACTTGTACCTGAAGCTTTGCGGGTCGAAAATCGCTCACTTATACATTTACAAAGGGTGACTTTTTAAGAGCTATAGTTCATATAATTTAATGTTTATATGAAATTGTTTACGGTGGCTGTTGTCCCCAATCCGTCAATTAAAGCGGGCTTGTCTGTATAGACATTAGATTTAACATAGCCCCGTCTTGTTGAAACCATATGCCCTGCAAGTCAAGCTCATGCATTTAGTGCAAAAAAAAAAAAGTTTTATATCATCTCACGGTAGCGTTTACCATTCACGGTTGCCTTCGATTCGCATGATCTTTGAAGAAGTACGGTCCAATGATGCCACCAGCCCATAAACCGCACCAATCTGTGACTTTTTCTAGATGCTTTGGTAGCAATGCTGTGTAGCTGCTCTTCACTCCAAAATCACAATTTTGCTTATTTACTCACCCATTGAGCCAAAAATGAGCTTCGAAGCTAGCATGGAAGAGGCGCGCGTTGAACGGAGCATGCATTTTGATAATAAAAATCAATAATTTGCAAGCGTTGATCGTTTGTAAGACGATTCATGATTGAATTATAGACCAAACTGAAGATGTTTGACAATGATACAGAACATGAAACGTTCGTCAGCTGTTTAAACGGGTGTTGTCAAAAAGATAATGGCTAAAGAATCACTCTTTATATACTATACATGAAGCCCCGAAAGTTTCCGTAAATTGTTTTTTCTTCGAACCATTTGGCTCAACACGAATTCGTTCCAACCGTACATATTTGAGCGAAAACATCCGTCCGGAAACTTTGCTGACGTTGTGAACGGTTTTAGACGAAAAAGTCTTCCAATACCATCGATCAACCACCGTACTCTCCGGCTTTGGCCACATGCGACTTTTCTTCCGATTGAGGCCGTAAAAGAAAATTCGCAGAGGGGACTGAGGTCGACTGATTTGCAAACAAACTGGTTGACAGTTGACATAGCAATTAAGTACAGCAAACTAGGAAGAAATATTCAGCGCGGGCAGTTTAAATGGCAGTTTCAAGAAACTTTCCGGTCTTAATGTATACAGAAAGATATGCTGTGCATCATTTGTACACCCACAACCATTTGTCTTGGCAACTAAATCACCTGAAAAGTGTAACAAAAGTGTAGCAATAAAAAAATACACAAAATCAATTCTAAATTTTCAAAATGAATAAAAAACACCAATTCAATGTGATAAATGTTTTCTTGTCAATTCACAGGAGGTGTAACATTTTGTCAATGTGCTAGGCTGCTCCCTGCAGACCACTCGAGAAGACACAAAACATGGTAAACAAGACAAGCACGACAAGTATTTTGCTTTTCCATACATATATACATGAACGTAAATATGTACACAAGGATGAACCTAAAGTTCATGGCAACCCATTCGTCTTCTACCCAACCCCAACATATTTACCGCTGGGATTATCTATGTGACTGTAAAATATTTTATTCTATGCCTAACAATCGATTCAGGCCTTGCCTGCTACCCTCTGAGTCTGTAAGCAAGCATATTTTGGTTTAGTGGAAGTCATGCTACATGTCATGTTCGATTGCAGACGACATTAACTCTTCGGTTGCTGGCTTGCCGTTGGCTCTGAACTGTTGGCTGTTCGAACGCTGCATGTTTGCTGTAATAGTTTTGTGTACTTTAAATATACTCGTATGTACAATATATGTAACGCTTGTAAGACAAGTTCTCTTGCTTCACTAACATTCCGTCACTGGCTGCAACTAATGTACCTGCCACAGTGGCTAACTGACTCCCACACTGGCTGCCTCACTCTTCACTTTAATAAAACTTCATTCGCGCCTCGATTACGCGCAATTTGTTGTTGCAAATAAGTGTTTGAACCTTCGCTGGTGAGGATTAGAAATATTGCTTCGCTGTTGCATTCCTTTTGCCTGAGCTTAGTGGCGTGTGTCAGTTTTGTTTTTACATATTTTTCATACGCTTCAACGCCATTCATTGATTGCGGAAGTGCATTTAGTCGTTATTAATAGTAATCGTTTGCAAACAATTTGCTCGTATGGCTTGGCGTGGTTTGGCTTGTCGTGGATATTATCGATTGCCGTGGCCTAAGTGCTGTTGTGGCGGCAGCAGAGAGTTCAATAAATCTTTTTTCGGTCAATCATATGTCAACAACGTCCTCGGAGTTTTTATGTACTTACATACGTTTATATATACTCGTATGTAACGGTATGCAATGCTTCAGGCTTTGTATTGATTTTGATTTGTACACGTATGTTTTGCACCAATTATTCTTTACGAGACGCATTCACCAAAGGCTTAGCGAGGGAAATATAGTCGATATGCAAGTTATTATGGAAAATTTAATTTCTAATTTCATTCACATATTTTTTGAGCACGTCTTGATGTTTTTCCAATAAATGTAAAGATCTGCACTTTATTTCTACTTTTCCACTTTGGAACGGCTGATGGATTTTTATTAGGAGCTTTTCATGCCAGCAAAACAATCGGAGGAGTTTCCTTATAGTAGTTGTGATTTTGCAATGTATACATAGTTAAAAGCTGCTGATTTCACCTCTTTTCCGGTAGTATTAAAGGATAATCAAGGCTATATTTCAACGACAGAGTGGAGAGAGAAAGTGGTTGTTGTTTCTACAACATAAATTCTCTTTATGAACTAAGCATTATCCACTTCCTCGGAGCTTTAAGTATAGTCCTCTGAGTACTAAGCCCCATTTATGTGTCATTTAACAGTTATATCCCTTGATTGTGGAATTGGGGTGTTGTTTGAGAATGTGACGTTATTGTACCATTCGCTCAGTTTTATGCTCTCGAATTGGCAACTTAGCAATTGCTCATTTAGGTTATAGGCGCCTCTCTCTACCATTTTCATGTTAGTCGTGAGATCTATGATATTATTCTTCTTATACAATATATAAGTATGTAAGCTACCAAGATGAGTAAGACCTTTAAAAGTTCATTGCTTAAGGAATTTTAAATATTTTTTACAGAGTGTAAAAATTAATATTTTCACCATATTTTTCTTATTATTTGCGTGAAGGAAGACACGCAAGAAAATTTTGTGATGAGCATGATGATGAAGTGCTCTTATATGGCATTTCCTCGACATAGCAATTACGTGTTTCGCTCTCTCCATTACGAATGCGAATTAACCCCATTCATACGGCACGCAGTTTGACAGTTTTCGGTTTCGCTTGTTTGTTCCATTGGAAAACGTATGGAAAATGAAAGATTTTAGTAGAAGTTAAGAAAATCTTGAATTGAATTGCAAATGTAATGCCAGATTCTTTAATAATTTCAAATTTTTTTTTGCTTTAATACACAAAAAGCCTTTGGTTTTTAATCAATGAAAATCTTCTTTTAAGAATCTCCTCTCTTTTGTTTGGATTTGTCAGCTGGTTTCGATGAAATTTCGAAAAGGATTCGAGAAGACATCGATTTTGTCGTAATTCGCATTGCAATTGAGAACGAATTACCTACTTTTACTGTAATTCGCTCACGAAAATTTGTACGAATTAAATAGATCGCCATGAATTTGGATTGCGAATTACGAGAGAGCGAAACACGTAGTTGGGCTGTCGTGGAAATGCCGTATTACAGTGGAGTAAAGCAGAAGTGGAACAAAATCTATTCTAGAAATTTTCACCTTAAATATGACCCACGATCAGCTTTTCTAGCTGAAATTAATTAGTATAAACTCAAAACCATTAGCGAAGCGGATCGTCTTCACAAGAAGATGTTAAAAATTTTACATTCATCCATTAAGAAGCATTATCGTTCTCGGTAACGCCTCTTATGGCAGGCATGCTTTGGCGGGACGGATCGAAACGACGATCGCGTAGTGCGTATCATTGTTTTGGTGTCCATTTGGAGTAGTTCGTTTGCATTTTTATTCCAAAGAAATGAATCGTATTTTTTCAGTCGGAAAAATTAAAGGATATTGTTGAAAATAAATATACGTTATCGACGAAACTTCATCCAAAATATTGTATAAAACAAATATTTTATTTCATTATTTCTCTTCGATTTCTTGCTTTCGAAGTGTGCAAGAATCTTATCAAGGCGAGAAATAGAATTTGACATTTCTAACTTTTTATTACACCAACAAAAATACATTGAACGAATTTCATTTTTGACTTTTCGAAACTAGGATTACAAAAACAAAATACATAGGATTTTTGTTTTTGTATTCCTGCTATTAACCTGTGTAAATTTTCCTTTTTGAATTTTAAGCAATTACAAAAGGCAAAAAAAGAAAAAAGAGAAAAAATGGAAAAAGCTCTGAGTACCCATTAAATCTATTAGGTTAGGCTAGACCAAGTTATACTGGCTGACTGATGTGCTTATGATATAGTCATTGGTCCTTTGCACATGACCAGATGAAGGTGTGTTTTACGTCAACGACGTCAACACGTTTCAGCAAGATCAAGAAATCTTCAATATGCGATTTGGAAACCACTCATGGTTTTCTAACTGCACTATCTACATGCTTCATAGCTACTAATGCCCATTCTGCTTGCAATAAGTTGGGGCCACTAATTAGGCCAACAACTGCCCTTAGCCGCTAAGCGAACGTATAAGCAAGAAATCGATATTTTCTGTGCTGACTTTGCACGCGATCTCTTATCAACTATTTCGTTACCCATAAGTTATCCATTATGTTAGTGTTGAAAACAGGGGATTTCTCCATAACATCTAGAGCAATTAGTTTGGGTATTTCCCCTTCAAATTTCCCTAGATGCTCTGTCGCTATGATAGAAAGAGGAGTGATGACAGAGTACTACCCTGATAAGTTCCTCTCCGCACTTGCTTGTGCAGATCGTCTTCGTTCCAGTCCACATTAATTTTCCATCCAACCTTTTAGAGCAACTATAATCTAGACCGACAGTCCGCATTTGAGCTAACACCTAACCTCAGCGTTTGCTACAAATGTAGTTAAAAATAATTTAAAATAAAAATTTTTAAGTTTTTACTCTTCTTCTCTATATACATATCTATTTATATTTTCATTTCATATTTCGCAGGTGTATTACCTATACTTGTACATTGGCAGTATGATTTTCCTGCTCTTCATGTACGCCACACTATTATGGGGGCGACCCAAAATGCCAGCGAATATAAGTAAGTATTTGTGCCGAAAAAAAAATGTATTAAATATTTTTATGAACATCAATAATAATAAAAAATTATAGTAAAAAAATATATAAAGGTGGTAAAAATTTAATAAAATCGCACTTTTTATGGTATTTTTATGCTCCAAAATCTGTTGAAAAAATTTAAATGTTTTTATTTTAAAATTTTATGCTATTTTTGCGACTTTAATTAATTAAATTTTTTAAATTTTTATTTAATTTTCATGATGACATGAAGTAAGAAGTATAGCAATAATAAGTAGAACAGCAAAAAAAAAATAAAGCGAAACAGCAGTATTGTTAATTAAAATGTTTTTTTTTCGGCAAATTTCATTTATTTATTTTCATTATTACGCGTGTCATTAACAAACATCAACTTTCATTCAACATTAATAAAGAATTTATACTCTCCTACATACATATATGTATATGAGAATGAGCGTATACTTTTGCGAGCCCATAAAAGTATATAAACCAAAAATCACATGAAAGTATTATTTGCAAAAAATGAAAAAAAAAATAAAAAAAAAATAAAAAAAATTAAATACGTGATATTTCATCCTTTCTTTGGTTAGCTTCACCCAGCAAATCTGCATCAAAAGCGCGCTCCTCTACCGCCTCGGAGAGTATGGATGAATCGGACACTGACAGCAATTCGATGCATAATAAACGCATACCGACCGTTATACCCGCCCGAAGGCCCTCGCTACTGGCACCGCTCGGTCGTCAACATCACTATGGATCCTTCTATCTGAGAATGGGCGCTGTGGGTGAGTATTTTCGTTTGACTGAAATATATTTGGTACAGCAAGTATATGCGCGAACTTTGAAGTGTTAAAAGTGAAGCGCTAAAGCTGCGCGAAATATACACACACCCACATACACGTATTTTGCAGTCTTATATATATAATCCTTTCAGTGTATTGCAACAGCGCGTATATATTCAACGCATATAGTGCTTTATGTGTTTGTTGAGCATCTTAAGCTTTATATATTTGTATAAAGCGTATAAATTCACCAAGTCTTGCATAGTCCGTTGAGTTTCTGAAGATTTATTTGCTAGCTTGCAAGGCATGAGTGTTTTTTTGTGTATTTAATGAAAATTTATGAAATTGAAAACGTAGCGGAATGTACAGAAAAAATGCATAATATAATATATAAATGTAATTTTAAAAATGGGTATAAATATAGATAAACTTTTGAAATTGAATATTTTTTTTCACTACTTGCTCCATTAGCTCCTGTCTCTGATATACAATTTTCTTTGAAATTCTTGAAGTAAAAGTCGACCATTTAAACAGGCCATTTTTGTCGGGGTAACTAAATTTACTTTGATATTAAAATTAGTAAATTTTGTTATTATTTCGTATTCTGAGTTCACTGTCACTCTGTAAATTTTGTTGCCAGCGAAATAGTAGGTAACAACCAATCAGCTGTTCGATTTTGTGTTGTTAATTTGTATAAAAATAAAAGACCAAAATATTTTACATCTAGAATTAATTGAAGATAAAGAAAAAAGTGCAAAAAGGCGAATGTTGAGAAGTTCGCGAGAAAAAAATGACTATTTTAATTTAATTTGTCATTTAGTATTTTCGCCTGAACGAAATTATTTGTTTAGAGCTTATAACCGAATTGGCACCATATGATAAGGGTAGATGTTCATTTACATATGTAAGTTTTATATCGAAAATTTTTGAGAACAGAAGACATCATTTCAGTTTTATTTGAGGTTTCTCTCAACAACATATTTCTTTTCCCACGGGTCGTAACAGAAATTCGTTTAGAGCAATTTTCTAACTGCAATGAACCAACCTTCTGTTTCGCGATCACTGCAACTATATTTCAAATGTGGATTCAAAAGTAAAAGCGGAGAAAATTTGCGTACAAGCAACAAATGAAATGCAAATACAATATATACATATGAATATTTTTGATTTTACTTTACCGACTGGCAAATGTAATTTGACATGGACGAAAAAAGCAGTGCTGCCAAAGTTTTTTCAAACATTGTAACCAATTCGCCAGAATACCAAACCCAATTACGGGTGTTAAAAAAAGTATCAAAATTTACTTTACCGGTAACAGTGAGAAGAGGCCTGTAAGTTGTAAATACAATAGCTAATGGCTAATATATTCGAGGAAGTTGTTACACTAGATTTTACATATAGCTTTGTACTCTTCTTGTCGCTCAGATATGTTTTTTAACCATTTTTCCAACTTTTTATTTTTGGAAATAATTGGAAAGCGAATTGCGGTATTTTATTACTGAAGGCGTATACATTCAGAGGAACTTAAAATAATCAGAGGTGATTATGGTTGTTCGTCAGAGTTGTTAGTTGATTTAGTTATGCTATTAGTAGTCAGAAAATTTAAAAATTTGTTTAGTTAATAACAACCAATTTCTCTTAAAATAGATTGAATAAAATCGTAGTGTTTGCTTTTAAATTCTTTTGAGTTTCATAGGAGTTTTCCACTATGGTTTTCAGTTTCCTCTGTCTAGCATCGCTTTCGGTTGATACTTCGTGTTAAGGACTTAGCAAAGGTTCGGTTGAGTTTGTTTGGGTGGATTTTTCTGATTTTGTGTGAAATTTCTTTTACCAAATTTGAAATAGATTTAGATGAAAATTTGATTTAGTTTAACTTTATTCTAAGTGATTACGAATGTTATTAAGAGACCTGTATATTTTTATAATATATACAAATTTCATTATATTCCCTAAGACCGGTGAAGGTCCAATTACAGTAAGCATTTCAGCATAATATTAGTATTTTTCAAAATTTTTGAATAATTTTTAATAATAAAAAACAACCAGTTTATGATTCGAACCGAACCATATCATGCGATAACTGCAAGCAATATTACTTTAAAGTCTTAAGGTGTTATGTTCGCCTGGTTGATCACTGTATAAGGTCATAGAATGCTTGCAGTTTCATCTTACCTAGGTCATAAAGCAACATGAGTTAAGGGGGGAACCTGGTTCAGAGGGTCAAAAAAATCGATTTTTTGAAACTTATATCATTCGATTGGAAATATATTCAGAAATATTTACACAAAAATTCAGAGTCAAATTCCTAATCGTTCCGCAGAAATGGCGGATGAGAGACAATGTGCTCAGGAGACTGATAAGCGGGCGCAAGAACTTTGAACGCGGTTTTCTCAAAACAGTGTTTTTCTGTTTTGTGCACACGATTAAAAAAGTTGTAATTGTCGCATTTTCATAAGTGATGCCTTTTTTTACAGCTAACAGTGTATACTTCTATGTGAACCTAAAAAATGACATTAAAAAATTTTATTATTAACTTCTTTCAAGAAATTATCTTAAAATTTCTTCAGAAAAACGCAAAATTTTTTATAAACAGTCATAAAATAAATAATTTTATACATTTCTTCGAATATCTTAGGTTCACATAGAAGAGCAACTCCTAAGCTACAAAAAAAATATTCGTTTTTATGTTTCAGACGAAAACTACGATCGCTATCGTGTTTACAAAATAGACTCTTCGAGCGAGAAGTGCCACAAACAAATATGAATTGTTATTGCGTAACAGTATCAAAAAAAGTGAAAGTAATTTTTTTTGCAAGATTTGTGTTTTTATGACCTATTTCAAAGTACTTGAAACATTTCATACGTAAGGCAACCTAAAACACTGTGCCGAATATCATGCATATCTAAACCAAGTTCCTCCCTTAACGAGAAAAAAAACCAAATTTAACTGTGCAAATCGCTGCTGAATTGACACCAAATCGACCCTATTCTAAAGCAGTTGGTAGCTGGTGATAAAAAAAGTGGATCATTTACAGCAATGTCAAATGAAAACGGTCGAGGTCAAAGCCAGCACAAACGATCTCCAAGATAGAATGGATGGTCAGGAAGGTCTTGTTGTATGTTTGGTCAGATTGGCAAGGAATTATGCACTTTGAGTAGCTCTCACCGGCCAAACTCTTAATTTTGACCTGTATTGTCAGCAAATGGGCCGTCTGCAGGAAACAAAACGTCCAATAGAAGGGCTATTATGTTTCACCAGAACGACATGGTTTTGGTTGCTAAAGAATTAATCTCAAGGAATGGCTGTGAAATCTATTGTCCTCAGCTTTTCTTCAATTGGGACAATAGTTTCCATGAGTGAAACATATGACATTCAAAGCGGCAAAAAATTGTCGAATAAAAAAAATAACTATAATAACTATAATAAAGCCTTAAATTTAATGAAAAAAAAATGAATGACTTGCTATTTAACTACAAAGTTCAATAATTTTGTATTGTACATAAAATACTAAATGAAATTTTAAGAAAAGAAATACAAACTTGGTATTAAAAAATAAGTTCTCTGCACAAATTTTTGCACCATTGGAGTCTTGTACTTCCTACTGTTGCCACACTCAATATCTAATATTTCCCCATGGAGCCATAAAAGAGATTGAAAGCTGAAAATAGCCATTTACTCTTACCTTCATTTTGAACATACGTACATATATATATATATATATATCTACCATATATATCTACCAGTCAATTGCTACTATTCTTTTGCTTTAATTTTATCTTTTATCGCAATTGAGAAATTCAGACTCTTTTGTAGAGGGGAAATGAAAAAAGAAAAAAATCAAAAATGCTTTCCTCAATTCTTTCTATTTTATTTATTTTTTCCTGAAAACCAAGTAAAAGTTATTTATTGAGCATCGCTAAGGAGTGGATTATCTTGAACAAAATATACCACAGCAAATAAACACCAACGTTACTTTAAAGCCGCCTTAAAGTATGCAAGAAAAAAATGGATTTCAATAGTTACATTTCCTCGAGCTCTCGTAAATTGTCGTCTGCGCCACATCCGTTGGAAAATGTTTCACATTTTATTCTCGCAAAATATTTTTCTCTTCACTTCCGTGTTGATGTTTTTTCGGCGTGTGATTGACATTCTTGCTTTTATTATTGATTTTTCTGTTTGTAAAATAACCAAAAAAAAAAAATCTCCTTGATTTGCTGCTGACATTTTGTCAGTTCATTACACTATTCGCTGAGTGTTTTCCCAGCAGCTCGTTGCTCATTTCGATTTCCATTACGCATTCATTTGCAAATTGTTCTGCCTAATTGACGTCGTAATTTCGTTAATTAGAAGCCTTGGGTGGTTTTTATGAATTCTAATTTATGCTTAATTTTTTCTCAACACATTTCATTATCTTTCTCTAGCATCTCTTTCATGTCTTTTCGTTTTGTTCTATCCTTTTTTTGCACAGCTTTCGGCATTGGCAGCATGATTTATTCAGGCTTGGAGTTTGGCCAATATTTTGAGTTGAATCCGGATACCAAATGTCATAATGTCCTTCTGGCATTGACACCAGCGACGCGAATGGCATTCATTTTTATACAAATGTATTTTATATTTCTGAATAATGAGGTAAGTGCACTCGTAAATCAATATCTCAATATGTTTAAATTTAAGGCATTTTATTCTTTTGAAAACCTTAAATTAGATATTTTTAGCTTAAATTTCCAAATAAACTAAATTTGAGCTGAGACAGTGAGCAAACAATTGCAAATACTCCTTCGATTTAAGTTTTTTCATGCTCCCTTGTTTTTGGTTTTTCTCATAAATAGTAAGTTTTTTTCGGAAAATAAAAAAAATATACAGATATCACAGATTAGTTTATGCTACAGCAGTTAGCTGCTAGGTTTTACATAGACCAGATCTTGTCCCCGGATGAAGCACATCAGATACACTCTTCACCATAGACAAGGACCGTTAAACAATACATAATACCGAGAGGCTTCAAATGTCAGTCACCGAGAATCCGTCAACTACTTCATGAGCTATTTTCCAGTGGATGGTGTTCTCGGAATAAAATGCAATACACACCACCTAGGATGCTCAATCGGCTTCGGGAGACCCGATTAATGCAAGCACCATTAAGATCTGATATTATAGTCGACTTCATGCCTACATATCCAGCCTTGACACCGATATACCAAGCGTATATGGAGCATGCAATGGGACCATGCGTCATACTAACTACATCTTTGCATGCTCCCTCAAAACCTATACATCAAACCTCCAGTCAAAACGTCTTGTTTCCTGGATCTCAAGTTAGATAATTTCAATGACTTAGTCCCGCTTGCTTGGAGTTGGATAACCGCTACAATGATAACAAGAACAGCCAGATATACACTAAAAATAGTTTGAGGTGAAGTTGTCGCCCTGTTACTTTTAGCGAATTTTAAGGGCGCCTTTACCGTCCCTTGCTACAGTTTATTTATAAGGCTTAATTGTGATACAAGAGGTGTTATAACGTCATGTTTATGCCTTTCTTTCAATGTTTAATGTATGTTTCACTGTCAATAGCGGCTAATTTTTACGCATGTAAGACCGGTAGGATGAGGCTTCTCACTTGTACTGCAGACCGTTCGAGAGTGTGCAATAAAAAACAGTCCTTACACATGGCTTTGGGCGTCATGCAGTCGTTAAATCTTACCGTCTTGCCTTGATCTATCTTGAGATCTGGAACACAGTAAATATGCTTTTGCTTCTCAACATCCCTGTTTCTGAGAATAATTGTTGAAGTAAAACCTCATTAGATTAAGGATTTAATTACTATATTGGTTAACTGCGATTCTTCATAGCTAAGATTACAGCCTGGAACAATTGGGTGGCCTCATGAACCCGTCATCTGTGGTCCAGTTGAGTGCAATAGATTCCGACAACCAACCTCGTCGGCCATTTTTGCTCCGTTCGTGTGAGTGTCTTGAACTTCGTCAGTAGACGAAACGCTTCTGCGCCAACTACCCTTTTTTTATTGCTGCCTAAAACCTATTTTCCCAGAAAAAGTAACGAATATGTAGTCTATTTTATTTGCTCTTTTCGGTGCCACGTTTAGAGAAGTTCTTGGTATCCCCTCATATAGAGTGCAACGCGTTGCTGTATCCTTACTGTGGTCTATGGTATCAGGCGGTAAACTTACATCGGTGTATAGCCTAGGCGATCAGACTCGTATAGCGTTTAGTTTCGTTTAGTCTCGATGGTTCTCGTGCGTGGACTTTATATCTTCTACTGATTAATACCATATTTGTTTTATCTACATTTACCTCCAAGTTGGCTAGAGTCGTACTTCGATGTATTAGATTCGGTGCCTGTCATTCGAATTTAATCCACAGCGCGCTTGTTACATGTGGCCACAGCAGCGGTGACAATATGCCGCCTACCAGGTCTGGTCTGAATCCACTCCGCTCTTATCCTTCTGCAACTCAGCAAGTTTAACGCTGGCTGTTTCCACACTATTTCCGATTACTTCATTGGAGATATGATCTAAAGCATCACTTTTATCCAACAAAACTCCCAAAGCCTATTCCTGAAGCTTCACAGATATTTATATGCAGAGTTCGTAATTGATGTGAAGTGTGAGCGGATCCACTCTTCTATAGATTTTGAATCACAGTGGAAACTCTGACTGAATTCTGAATACATTCATTATAGATATATTTCAATCAAATTCGGTATTTTCCGGATCATTTCCAATAAAATGTGAGCCATAAATCGATATAAAGCCAACCAATACCAATTCTGAAACCTTTGTGACCTCGAGAAACCATAAGACGGTAAATGTAAATATTCTTTCGTAATACCAATCCATAATTTGAACCATGAAACGAAATCGAAATTGAAATCTCGAAATCTCTTTAAACTGTTCAACAGCTTTTAACTACTTCTTGTGTTCTTCTTTCAGCAAATCAAGGTGTATCGCTATAAAATAATCGCACGCTTCGGTCTCATGCATATGATCGGAACCAACTTGGCGGTTTGGCTGAATGTGTTGATACAGGAGACGAAACACGAAATCTTAACATTCTACAACCCAGAAAACCGCACATTACGCATTTCACATCGCATCCCAGGACACTCACGTGGGCACATCAACGCGCCGGCTGTGATACCCACAGATCCAACGGCACATTTACGAATACCACGTGGCCTGAAAGGACCCTATCAGATTTTCGAATGCCGACGTACAAATATACTCGGCACACTCGTGCAAGACGCCTCACCGTTCCTCTTTCCCTGCACCATTGAGTATTCACTCATCTGCGCCGCTATTTTGTATGTGATGTGGCGTAGCATATCGCGACCACCAACACCAGCGCCACAACGACCGGACACGATCAGTTCGCCGATGAAGCGTTCACCCCATCATTATTCGGTGGATTGTGCGCGTGCCCATAAGGGTCTCTTCGTTGGCATACTCATACTCGTGCTGACCATCATTTCGCTCATTCTCTTCTTCGTGTTGATCTCGCGACCGGATTTTGTCGCCCTGGCCGTCACCGAGGTTACCATCTGTGAGTTGCTCATCTATGGCACGGCGACAATAGCGACACTCATTGGAATGATACAAATACGACATTTACAGTACGATTGGTATCGCAGTTTCTCTTTGGATGATATTTTGCTGGTTGGCGCACAAACGGGTTCGTTCTTATATAATATATTCACAGTTATTGCTGGACACTTTACGTTGCGAAGTGACGACATGCTGGTACCGTTGAATGCACTCGCCTCCATTGTGCAGACTGCTTGCCAAACACTTTTCATATTGGATGCCAGCCGACGACAGGCGATCACACCGGAACATATACGCAAAAAACCCGGACGAGAGATCGTCACATTTATGCTGGTCGTAAATTTGGCCATGTGGGCTATTAGCACGCTGGAGAAGTCACGCGCCGAGTCGCATCCCATACAGCTGAATTTCTACGGTCTCTGGGCGTGGACGATAATTACGCATGTCTCCATGCCATTGGCCATCTTTTATCGTTTCCACTCAACGGTTTGTTTGTGCGAAATCTGGAAGCGTGCCTATAAACTGAAACCGGCCTATATGTGAGAGTATGCGCGTGAGCGCATTGCCAGCATTGCGCAACAGCAACAATTCTGCGAAGATCTTAAGACCAATTTGTCGTATTGTTATTGCTCGACAACATTGGCCGGTGGCGAACTCGAGACCGTCGAAGAGGCGGAGAGTGGCGAGAGCAACGGCTACGAAGAAGATGACGAGATTGAGGATGGTGGCGGCGGCAATGCTGATGGTGACGTTGGTGGCGCTGGTACCGATTCGACGACAGCGGTGTTAGAGGGTAGTGTTGGCGGTGATATTGGTGGTGGTAATGGCACCGGTACAGTAACAACCGAAGAGGAAGGACGAGCGAAGCAAACGAAAACGAAAAATGGCAATGAACAGAAAAAGCAGGCGAGGCAACGTCATGTCAAATTGGTGGACTGTAGGGGTAATGGTCGGGATAATGGTAATGGTGGTAGTGGAAGTGGTGGTGGTTGTGGTGGTGGTGGTAAGCCTACCGCATTTTGTCCGGTATTTGTGATAAATGGTGAATGAGTTTACGAGGATTTTGAGTTCATCGATGCGGGCAGTGATCGCGAACTCACTTTTGTCTAAGCAATGCCGGTAGGAAATAGGTAGAGAGTGTGATGAGTGCAGAGTTGGCATCGAAGGTACGATGAGTAACGATTTTCTTTTATTAGGAAACATTTCCTGCGAAGTCAGTACTGAGAAAAATAAGGATGGTTGACTTTGCGTAAGTTTAGTGAAAAGTTTTGACAAAAAGAATATACCTTTAAAACAGTGAAGCTAATAAACCATTTTACTAAAAGCTAGTTTTCACGTAGAGAACTTCGAGCGGTTTTTAATATACATACATATATCTTCGCATAAGTAATTAAATCTTGAAAAAAAAAGAAAATTAAATTTGTCAATTTTTTCATTCTCTTTCTACTTTTCGAGTGCTTCTCAAATTGCCTCGTGGGTACGTAATAGAGGTACTTTTTATGTTTATAGGGTTTAAGCTTGGGCAAGAAAGGACTCATGGGTACGTGTTTCAAAATCATCATGATCCCGATCCACCCGCGGAGCAAAAGACCATCACTAGTCACCATGGAAATTTGATATGAGTTTTGTCTAATTTTTTACAATAGTAAACGCGGAAATTAATTGAAACCTTTAATTTTTACGAAAATTCTTCTTCCACTTCATACTTGACATAAGTCGACTCAGTTAAAGCACGCTATTTTTTTTTATATATAGTTCGACGCTCATTGAAAACACTAAGTGAAACAGGATAATCAGCTTCGCTTATCTTTAATCTAAAGGAATGGATGCCTTCATCTTCCTTTACTTCAATCAGCGAGTACGGTATCGAGTTCTTTCCAAGCTGTAGTATTGTCAATCCGTTCAACAAGACCTAACCAGTGTCGCCGCTATTTTTTTTAACAGCTAACTCAATCCATCGTCGTTTGGGCAAACAGTTCATTGTTCCATCATCTACGGCGCTTGGCGTTGTAGTAGTCTGAAATTCGTTTGCTAAATCTTTTTCGCGCAAACTTCTTGTGCTGACTTATCGATTGTCGTCATCGTTGACCTTTCGATACCATAGAGTAGGAGTAAAATAATGAGCGCCTTGAAGAACTTGATTTTCGGTCATCGAGAGAGAACTTTATTTTTCAATTGCTTACTCAGTTGAAAATAGCAATTTTATAGGACCCAGTTCCAACCTCCTTCTTCTACAACTTGATGGTTGCTTTCAGTTCCCCTGCTCCCTATGGTTCATACAAATGTTCGCTGGACAATATACTTTGGAATAATAAGATCTATACATGCTCCACTCACCAGCTGTTATGAGATCTGCGCAGGCAGTCCGTATTTTTATTTACGTTCTCTTAGTGTAAATGAATTCTGTCCAGAGAAAACTTTTGACTAGAAAATTTCGAAAAATGCCAACAGAAGATGCTCTTGAATTGGAAGTTACTTTCCCACCACCTTAAACTTAAACAACATATTCAATTATAGATAACCCCTCTCTGATGCAGAAATTTTAATTTTCTGCAGAATTTTGGCTTTGGTCAGCGCTGATCTAAGGGAAAGATCTCTCTCCGCTTTGTATGCATGTCAGTAAGTCCGTTGAATGCGGCATCATGATTTTTCATGAAGTTTATTGTCTAAAAGAGCAGTCTCTTATCTTTCTGAAGAGACTTTGTAACGTATGAGAGAGTCTAACGCTTGTTCTATTAAACTTTCCAGAGAGCGCCTGCTGTCAACTAGTACACTCTTCTAAAAAGAAAAAGTTCAAAGTCCTGTCTTTGAAAAATTTGTACCAAGAAAAAGCATGTTAAGAGTAATAAGAAAATTAAATAAAAAGAAGTGTTACAGGTTAGAACCCCTACCCCACAAAATAGCCAGATTAGAAGTGTTTAATGGAAATTTTCAAAAGAGTTGCATTTAAAAAAATATTAGCAGGCAAATTAGAGCATTTATATCGCAAGGTAAAAGCATTCAAAACTCCATTGAGTTGGAAAATCACTATAAATTTCGAATTAGCAGTAATAATATTCGTGTTAGTTATATACTTATACAAAAGGAAATGTAAGAGAAAAATAAATATAATACGAAACTGTTCGAAACTCACAAAAAAAAAACATAGGGAATATATACTGGAAAAGAAAATAAGTATTCAAATTTAATATAAATTCGATGATTTTTTATTCAAGAAAAATGACACGTAAATTAAAGCAAAATACTAAAAAGATATCATAAAAATTTATCCAACGATCTACGGACCCACCATAAACCACCATTACCGGATAAAAAATTCTATTGGCCCATAAATAAGAAACGAGTCGAAAATACATTCAACAAAAAAAAAAAAAAAAACTATTAAATAAAGTTAAAAGTTCATGCATTTTGTGAAGTTAACACGATATAAAGAACCCACGCATACGACTACACTCAACTATAAATAAAAAATAACCTTAAATATCGAGTACATACAAACATACAAAAAACTACATACAACAAGTATTTTTCGATGAAAAAGAAATTTATTTTACAAAAACCACAAAAAGGTATGAAAATAAAGTAAAAGGTATTTTGTTTCAATTTTACCCAAATAAAAAGTAAAAAAATTAAAAAAAAATAAAGAATAAAAACAACAAATCACAAACAGCATATTATATATAAATATAAACTTTAAAAATTATAGTTAAATTAAAAGTAAATGAGCATAGAAAGCCAAGAAAAACACATTTGTGAAAATAATTAATATAAGCGAAATATTTATAAAACATTAATAAAGAAATATTTAAAGAATGTAGAGTCAGACTAGAGAAAACATGAACCATAAAAACCACAGAGCTGGACTAAAAATTACTTTTGAAAACATGCATGAAATTCAACATTAAGCATCTAGTGTCTACTCTTGAAAGTCAAAGGGCTTGTAAGTAATTGCATTCATCGATACTAAAATATTTGTATAGACTGATTGTGTGTTCATTGCAAAAGAAAAAAGTATTATTAAAAGAATTACACATAAATACAAGGAAAATTCGAAAAAATGTATTATTAAATGGTTTAAGTATTCAAAGCAAAAACTAAGAAGAAGATTTGGGATCCCAGAATGTTCTTTGATCTCACAAAGCAAGGGGTTCAACATTTACGAAATACTACCGTAAACATTTGTAATGTGCGAGTTATTAAGATTGCGCATTTTTCAACTTGAAAACAGTATTAAAGCACAATTTTAAATAAAAATACCAAAAATTCTCAATGGTTCAAAACTACTACCAATTTTTTCGACATCAGATCATCTTCATCGATCGAACCTTTGCCTAGAGCACTCAACAAAAGGGAGCGTCCAATTTAGGGGTAAAAAAAAACAAGAAAAAAAGTATTGAGAAAAATCATTTTTGCAAGTTTTTCTATTTGCACCCGAAAGTTTCATTTAAAACACAAAGTTGCCAAACCGGAAATTAGACTTTGGAAAATAGAACACTATTATCAAGAAAAAAATTTAAATAGTATGTAAATAAGTCCTTAAGGAAAGTTCGAAACAACAATGTTACTATTCTAACCAAGCTTTTTAAGCTTTCGAGGTAGTCGTAAAAGAAGAAAATACTAAATTCTAGAAATCCTCAAAGCAGCTTCAATTTTATTATACTTTCAAGAAAATATGGATTGGTTTATAATGTAAAAAAACTTAAAATATTTGTGTACCGAAAAGTTATTTATGTTAAGAAGTAGCCTAAACTTTCGCTACGAACTTCCGCTGTCAAAAGTTCATTTCCTAAATTAACCGAATGCTATCAAATTGTTAACAGCTTAAAGTTCATTTAATCAAAAGCTGCGATAGTTCGAAAGCTCAAACGAAGCTTTAACTGTTAATAGTAACATATTTTATTGCAGCAATTTTATTTGAGTGAAAGCTTTAATGAAAGAGCGCAAGCTTTCAAAAGTGTCACTATAATTGTGAATTTTCGATTCTCATGAATATTATGAATAAAATTTCAACAAATTTTGCTTATGCATATATAAAATTTATAATGATATGTTATGTTATTTGTTTGCGTGAATTGCATTTTATGCTTACAAACGTACATAAATTGTTGCAATAGTCGATGAATGGTTTGTTAAATTGATTTTTGAACATTTTACTGCAATAATTAATGAAATAAAATTTATAAAACACAGAAATTATGTAAAATATAAATGTTATGTACGTTATGTGTGATCATTTTAATTAAATTAGGAAGAGTTAATGTTTGTTGATATTGAAAAGTAAAAGCTTAAATGGCATATGTAAAAAACACCGTAAGGGTTTTTTTAAATATATTTAAGAATTTTATAAATAAAGATTACTTTCATTAAACTGCGATGCCCATACATGGATTCAAAGAAATTAAATTTATTTTTTTCTTTATATAAAAATAATTTATATTAATTTAAAGTAATTTTTTTTTAATAAAAATTCAAATTTTGTATACTTTCTTCATTTTATGCGAGAACTCAATTCTTAAATTAAAATTATTTAAAAAGTTTTATTTACTTTATACTTTTAAGAACGTTCTATGTAATTTAATAATACTCAAACAACGGTTTTTAAATATCAAAACAGATAAATTTTTAAATTAAAAATTTAATTTAAGCTGCAAGAAAAAAGTTAGATTTCATTTACGTTGAAATTTGAGAAATAAAAAGGTATTTAAATTGAACATAATATTTGTTTTTTTCTATATATTTAAGTGTCTTAAAATTTTGAATAAAATTTTTTAATTTAAACCACTCAAATCTCAATAACTTTTTCAAAATAAATATTTTTTAATTAATAGGTGAAGCTGGATTATCATATATAATATTTGTTCAAATAAAAAAGTTAAAATTAATTAAAATAAATAAGAAATTCAAATAATCAGATCCAGTTTTCAAGTTTTAGTTTGCAATTTTTTAAACAAAACATAATAATTTTTTGAAAAAGTAAACTCTTCATATGTGAGTGATTTTATTTAGATGCCAAAGAATTATCCAAATCAAAATGATTTTATAAACAAATATGTATATTTATCTAATTCAGTTAAGTGTTTGCTGTCTGTAATTTAATTAAAAAAACAAAAAAGTAATAAAATAATATTGATGTGTTTTTATAGTTAAGTATTAAGTATAAATTAACAATTTTTAATTAGTTACCACAATTTATATACATAAAAAATACTAAAACAAATCTTCAGTATATTAGTAAAAAAACAATTTTGTTTATGACTTCTGTAAAGTTATAAACAAATTAGTGTAGACAAAATAAAAGTATTATATTAAAAATTATTTGTCAGCAACGTATTAAGAAAAAATATATGAAAATAAAATATATAAAAGTAAAAATAAATAAAAAAAAACATACAAAATCAAAGCAATCTTATATAGCAAAAAAGAAAAAAAAAATAAATAAAATATACTGAAAAAAAAAAATTAAAAATTTTAAAGGCTTAGATTTACATGCTCGTATATAAAAATGTAAGCTCAATATTACAAGCAAACAAAAGCATGAAGAACTAAGTAAAAGTTATATGTATGTATCCCTAATACTTGTAGGCTGGCAATTGATAATTTCACAATTACATATAGATATGTATACAAATTACAACAAAAAACAATTCATTAATTTACACAAACTGCAATATATGTATGTATTTGACTGTCTGTAAATTATTTCGTAATTCCTCTTTTTTAATGCTATTCTCCTTTATAATTAGTGATAATGACTTAAATATATACACCTACGTATACATACTTACATATATGCGAATATAGCGATATTTAGTAGTAAATATTTACTTATATTCATACACACAGATATATATATATATATATATATATATATATATATATATAAATATTTATATATATTTAATATTTATTAGCATATTTTTACAACTACTAAATTTTGTCTTAATTATATAGAAAGAAAAAGCAACAGCAACAATACACACACAAGAAAAAATCAAATCAAACAAAGATATTATGGAAAATACTAAGGAGTAGCGGAAAATGTTTGAGAAGAAATCAATTTTGTTATTATTTCGTTTTACTATTTACATTTATAACAAAAAAAAAAAAAAAAAAAAAAAAAAAAAAAAAAAAAAAAAAAAAAAATAGTTACGATATTCTTCAATGATATCATCTCTGCAGTTGAAGACATATTTAATTGTATGATGTAATAACAATCATAAAGTTGACGATAAGCATATAAACGTGCAGATTATTAATAAATATAAATAAATAATTAATTAAAGTGTGTTTGTGCCGCAATTACTTTAAATTAAAGTTAGGTAAGTATGTAGCAAAATCAGGGGATGGGGTAGAAGCATGGTCAAGTGACAGAAAATATTTATTAAACAAAAATTTTGCTGTCAACATCGTCATTGTTCGACTAGATTTGTGCGATTTTATAATTTTTTATATTTTCTCCTAATAAATTCCATCAATTTTGGTTGTTCTCAATTTTATTTCATACCAACACCGTTCGATGAGGTTCTTTTAACTGTATGTCCCTTCATTTGTTGGAAACACAACAAGATGCATCCAAAACTTTAGGTACGGAGCTCGACCGATAATCGTTTCAGCGGTTTAAAAGCACCAAACGTACATTTAAATTTATATTGGGTTACTCTAAAGGAAACCGGCAATTTTTAAAAGGAAATAAATTTTTTCTAAACTTTATAATGAACTTTAATCAATTATGTAAACTCCATTTTGTTGGATGACTTTTTGCTATCTCTCCGGCAACATCATTATTCCACGCTCATAGAACTTCCGGTCTTTATCTGCAAAAACTGAACTAAGTGCTATTTAAGAGCCTTGTCATTTTCGAAAGTTTTAGCACTTAATGAGTTCTGCAAAATTCGAAAACTGATGGTGCAAGGTCAGGGCTATATGGTAGCGTGGATGCATCAACAGTTCACAGCCAAACTCTCTCAGATTTTGGCGAGTTATCAAAGATGTGTGCAGTTCAACATTGTCCTGGTGGAATGTACATTTTTACGATTGACCACTTCCCGTTGCTTCTCGTTGATAGATGTATACAATATTGTTCAGTTGTTCAATAGACATCCGAATTAATCTATTGGTTCCTTGGAAGCAGCTCAAAACATACCACACCCTTTCAATACCACCAAAACTGGCAGCATGATCTTCTTTTGGT